CTTTTATGGACTCATGTATCATGTTTTGAAAAAGGTGCTCTACATTATGCTTTTACAACAATGTCTCCCGTGTGAAAATCGGTGAAAGGGTAGACAGGAATCCGTTTCCAATTTCCACCTATTACCTCCATCCTCCTTACATCTCTTCCCCCCCGCTCGAGGCTTGAGACATCTGCTCCCGGCATGGCCGGTAAGAGCTGAGCTCCCTCAAAATCTTTGCTAGGTGGGAGCACTGTTTTATGAAATTAACAGGTTGGAACCCTTGCCAAAATTAAAAGGTCTTAGAGCAGCTATGCAGGCTTGGGAGCGAGTTCGGGTCAAACGCACTAAGGGACGAAAGAAGGAGTTCAAGGACCATAATCCCCGGTCAGGCATCAAAACCCCGACTGGGGAAATGCCATCAGAGACTGGGGAAGTCGTCCAGTGATTTCCCCAGTGTGGACCCCTTAATCCTCGACCGGGGAATTAAGCTTGAGACAGGGTTTTGTCTGCTTCGATGACTTACTGTTGCACGCCGTTTTGGGAAAACCCGGCATGTCCTTCAAATACCCGACCAATTATTGGGAGTTGCATATGGAGAAGATAAGCCATAAAAATGTGCTAAATTTAATTTTATAAAACGTATATACTATATGTTATGAGGACATGCTTGATGTGAAAAATAATAGAGGGATAGATTTGAGAAAAATGGATAATAGAGTGACAATTTATGCTATTAACTCCACATGAAAAGTCAAATATCGTATTTGTAGAGTAGAATTTAAGGTTTTATAATGTTTGAATTTTCTTAACTTTTGTACGTGCATTAGTATCTAACACTTAACAACCGCCACTTATTATTCAAACAAACCTATACAGTAAATTATAATAATTTATATAATAAGCATTATGCTTTCGTGTTCTTCCAATAATAAAAAGTTCACAAATTTCTTCTAAGATATGAAAAAATACACAACAGTAAACTAGGACAACTTGGTAAAAAAAATTATATAATAAGCATTATGCTTTCGTGTTCTTCAATAATAAAAAGTTCACAAATTTCTTCTAAGATATGAAAAAATACACAACAGTAAACTAGGACGACTTGGTAAAAAAAATACATATTAATTAATTATCATTAATATTCAACAAATATCATAAAGATTACTTTGAAATAATGAATTAACTATTTTAGAAAATCTCAAATTATTTAAAACCATGAAGAAATTGATTAACAGAAAATAAAATTAATCGAATAAATATTTTAAATATAATTATACATTAATTAATGTAAAAGATAAAACAAAACTCATTCGGACAAAGCTAAGAGTTACTATACAACTAAGAGAAGAAACTCAGGGGTTTCATGATATTCCTTACTCCATAGTACAACAAACAGATTTGGGAAAAAGGGATAGAATTCAAAAAACCCTCAGCTAACAAGCCCTCGATTCATCTCCCATCTTCACCCCTGTTCTTCTTTTCTCCTGGTTGCGATTAGAGTATCCATTTTCCTTCTTTGTTTCTCAAGAAAAAGAGAAAGGAATCGAAGCTGTTTCGTTACTTATCTATCTTTTCTTTTTCTCTGGCCTTTGCGAGTTTTGGGAGTGATTGTAACTTGAAAGAAGGTTTTTGGTTCCTGGTTGTCAAAGTTGTCGGTGATGGGAAGTGGAGGGAAGAAGAGCGTAACGAAAAGATTATAAGAGGGCTGTTGAAGCTGCCCCCAAATCGTCGATGCATCAATTGCAACTCCTTGGTAAGCATATACTCGTTTATCAAAATAGTTCTACTGGGCTCAGTAATTTCTTTTTGATATTGCTTGTTTATTTTTCCGCCCTGTAGTTAAATGCTTTCTTTTGTCTAGTTCATTTTGGATTTGCAGGGTCCGCAGTATGTTTGCACCAACTTCTGGACTTTTGTCTGCATGACTTGTAGTGGAATACAGTAGGTATTTGCTCTTAATGGGTATTGTGATGTGATTTTCCTTCACTTTGCTACTCACCCTTATGTCTGCTACTCCTTATGTATGCTGAATTTGAATACCCTTATGCCATGGTCTATGAGGCGTGTTGTTTTTAATTTTTTGTCTTAATGGAAAAAAAGAGTCTTCTTTCCTGATTTGAATGATCCTCTGACTCATCCAATTTGATGAATTTGGCTAAAGTGAGATCAGCCTCCTTCTTCTCAGGACCAGATCCGGTGAGTAATCTTGTGGTGAGTAACCCCATGCATAACCCAATAAGAATCTGCCACATCAGCGCCTCCTTCTCTCTCCTGGAAAAATCATTAATTTTCTTTCCCTTAATCTTTAACGGACGATTTCTCACTCGTTTTAACTCGGATTTTTTTTTTGCACAGTTAGATCAGATTAATTGTGCTCTTCAAAATGATATCCACTTTGATATTTTTTGGAACAAAAAAATTTGTCAGTTATTACCAGTCAATACCATATGGTATTGACTGGTGTTAAATAACAACAGGTGTTAAATAACAACATACCATATGGTATGTAAAATACCACCTCATACCAGGGTGGTATAGTATAGTATGGAGTTGGTAACGAGAGGTATGAAATTTTTTCTCCCATAAAATTTTGAAATCCAATAGATCATGATTAAATCGTTCATTTTGTGCAAAAAATTCCGAAAATGAATAAACAACGAAGGAGATACCATATGGTATGGAGTTGGTAACGAGAGGGTTGAAAAAAAAATTCTCAAAAAATATTGAAAATGGATATCATTTTGTAGAGCACAACGAACTCGTTCCATCTATACAGATTTGGTTACTCATTGTTACTCACCGTAAGGTTACTCACCGTAAGGTTACTCACCCTATCTTGAGCCATGAGTGGGAGGATAACGGACAAATATGCAAAGGAATTGATTTGGAATGCAGTAGCAGGTGGAAAGGAACATATTCTTTCAAATAAAGCATGTGTACAAATGCTGTCGAGAAAGCATGTGTACAAATAGGTTTGGATAACAGAATGAACTACTAGTGTTGAGCAGAGTATTTCATTCAGACATTCTGCTACTTTATTTAGCTGCACATAATTTAGTAGCCCGACTTCCTATTTGATTCCAAAAACAATTACGTGCTAATAACAATGGTGCATTTCAATCATCAACTTGTGCAGACAGAATCAATTTCTAAGCAATAATACCACCGTCATAATAAGAGCCAAAGCACTCGTACACCCTTTGCCTTTGGATATCGCACTTTTGCGTGAAACTTCCATGCTCCTTCACACACTGCACAGAACCAGTGGAGCAAGGCTTACAAATCAGAGCTTTGATTCAATCTTAAAGGTGGAACTCGATTTCCATGGATATTAAACGGTGAGCAATCACAAACCTTTTCAAGGAGCTCTTCCCAGAAGCTGGATTGAATCTTCTTGCGGTTGGAGGTTGGCACAAATGCCGGCTCTGCATTAATGGTCATCCCTGAACAAGGTAGAAAGTAGAAACCAACTTTGCCATATCAGTTTCTATATATGTCAAAATTTGTAGCAGCAATATACTTGACCAAAGGACCGGATTTCAACTGCCCATCGTATATATGACAATCACATTCTAGGGGTAGTTTAGATTAAGGATTTGAAAAATGAAGGTTTGTGTTGAATTTCGTGATTTGGAAAATGAAGGATTGGGGATGGATTTGGTTTATTTAGCATCAAGGATTAGTTTCATTCTCTCAAATCTCATCAAATTATGTGAGATTTTTCAAATCCATATACGTTGTTTGCTTGATGGATTTTGTGATGAATTTGGATCTATCATTATCATGAATTTTGTCCAAACTATATTGTTTGCTTCACGTATTTAGGGAACAACAAATCGGTGGGACCCACGGACATTGAGGGTCCAAATCCGTGAGCCCCGCAAACTTGGAAATCTCACCCCTTAGGTAGGAAATGATCATGGATTTTGAAGTTCATATCCAATCTACCCTCCTATTTCTTTTCTTTCTCACACCAATGAGAACAATAAATACTAAATTTCACTTCATACATACAAATCTAATTAACAAGATCTATAATGAAATTTATAAACAAAAAATGATATTTTTTCAAATCTATAATGAACACAAAGCGCTCATATATCCATCATTTTCAAAACCCAAAATATGTTGATTTCACAAAGCAAACTACCCGGTCGTCAGTTTCGCTTGATACATACATCTGAAATCATCTTCTCTGCCAATGGACAAAACAAAAGCTTTTACCTTTAGCATTGTCTTCCAAATGTTTCATAAGAGTCGAAGCTCGATTCTGGCAGGAAGTGCGGTCGGGATGCTCCCACATGCTCAAACACTATCAATTTTCACACACAGGCAGATCAACATAAAACGTCCCAACACATGTACACTCACTCTGTTCCCCTTCAATCGAAACCTCACCTTCTCCAGAACCTCCTTATCATTGAGAAACTCTGCATAAGCTCCTCCACCGGGTCTGTAGTTGTGCGCCGCGATCGCAGCTGCCTTTACGTGATGCTCGCTCGACGAACCTACATTTCAACGGCAGAGAAAGAGAATCGAATTAACAAGCGGGCCTTCTGATTCCATATCCTTAAAATCTGTTCTGCAACTTTTCGTGCGCGGAAAGAAAGAAAGAAAGAAAGAAATAAAAAACCTGTTGCGTTCTCTCCTTTGAGATTGGCTGTACCACTCGAACCACCGGACCGCGATTCAAAGTGGCTGCCGACGCCGCTGGCCTTTGCCTTGTTCAGTGCGGCAGAACTTGCGCCGCCGGGAGATGCTCCCCGCATCACAATCGCTCTCGCCGCTCTGGCGTCGTCATGGTTCCTACGATTTCCCAAATTGTGAAAAATCCCGATCCATCACCATCAGGTTTTTGTATCTGAAGTGGCCCTGAAGAAACGCGATTGGTGTAGGTTACCGCAATACGGCCCGTAACATAAGCCCATGGGATCAAAGTCACAAGCCCATGGGCCCAAAGTCGCTCTCGCACGGAAATATTTACAACCCTTCGATCAATGGGAAAAGGGATTCGCGGCCGTCTCAAAGCGCATTCTCGGCGGATATTTAACTCTTCTGTTTGAACTTTGAAGCTTGTTCGTTAACCTCCTTACGGAAGTGCCAAGGGGAATCGCTGCTTGATTGAACGAGCTACTTCAGTGAATTAGCCAAGGTGAGAGACAGCTAGGGTTTCAAGTATTGGTCTGTGATTTAGCCTGGTAATTTTTCTTCTATAGGGATTGTACTGTTCACGCCGTGCTTGGAGATTCTTTTTTTAGCTAGGGTTTTGAATTGTAGAAGGCTCCTATTTGAGATTCATGGTGAGGCTCGGGTTGGACTTGGTTTCATCCTTTCTCAAAGTTCACTCTTATGTTATAGTTGTTTGTCTGCTCTTTCGAAATGGATGGAAACTGTATAAATCTGTGGGGATTAGTATTTAACCTGTGCGGTTGCTGCTGATAGTATTTGAACGATAGATTTCTTTAGTGTTTATTTGTTTGCAATGAAGGTAGAGAAATCCAACAGGCTATTAGAGTTTTGGGATCTATTTACGTAAAGATTGGTTATACGGGAGTTTAAATAAGCTGTTTCAAACAAATGCACCGGTTCATGCTGATCGAACCACTCTTTTTCTCCAGCATGGCGTACGGTCTGCTTCTCAGAGCATAGGATATAATTCTAGCTCTGGCATTCTGATTATATTTTTCTTCAGCTGAATTGGTCTCTATTTGAATCAGGATTCTGGAAGTTGGGAAGCAAAGGAGGGCAGGATGGCCGATGAAGGATTGAGCCAGCGGATAAAAGAGTAACCTTTCTTTGTGGTTTAGCTGACATGAGATTGAATTGTTCTTAGCTACCATCTAATTTTGCTTTTTGGACTCAGGGACAATCCTCAGTTAGCATTAGTACTGAAAGAAATGAAAGGAGGGTTGGATTTGGTGAGAAGTAAAGTTGAAAGCTTGACTGCTAAGGTAAAGGGTTTTAGGTTTTGAGGATATTACTTTTGAATGCTGGAGTTGCGAGTAGTCTTACTCTGTGAATGAAAGTTCAATTGAAGTCCTCCCCTGATGATTTAACTTCTTCTTATTGAAAATGAATGTTTTTACCCCTTCTGGATGAGCAGGTAAAAGCTAATAATTATCCTACAGCTGATGGGATAAGCTACCTAGAGGCTAAAAATTTGTTGCTTCTTAACTATTGCCAATCGCTGGTGTACTACATGCTTCGTAAGGCAAAGGGTTTGTCAGTTGACAATCACCCTGTTGTTCAAAAGCTTGTCGAGACGAGGTTGTTTTTGGAGAAGGTATGTTCATCTTTGTCTCCCTTTTATGCTTCTTTGTTCACTTGATGAATGTTTGTTGCAGAAATGGGGATATCAATTTGTGATGTTTTCTTAACAGATACGACCAATTGACAAAAAACTTGAATATCAAATTCAAAAGCTCACAAAGGGTGCTTCACAGCCTGTGGATCAAGTAAATGTCAATAGCAATACAGAGGCTTCTAGGAATTCTGAGGATCTTTTGAAGTATCGTCCCAACCCAGATATGCTTAATAACAAATCTGTGGTCGCCTCTGGGGTGAGTTTCGTTTTAAAAATTAGGCTGTCATTGGATGAAAGAATATCTGGCATTTCTTGTTAGCTAATTTGGTGATTCTGTGTCCTAGGATGCTGTTGGTGTATATCGGCCACCAAAATTGGTCCCAGTAGAAATGGAAGGTGGCAGAATATCGAGGGAAAAAAGGAATGAAGTGAGAAAAGAGAAAGAGATGGTTAGACGGTCAAGACTGGGCTTCCAAAAAGATTTGTTTGATGACTTGCAGGGGAAGCCTGAAGAGGTTAGTTCTTTCTCCGCTTTATTTATTCTTCTTGTTGGATAAACTTTTTCAGGCACTTGAGATCACCACTTATTGTATGTGTACATACCAGGTTAAAGAATCCTTTGGAAACGAGAGTAGGGAGTTTGAAAAATATCAGAGACACTGGGAAGCACGTGAGAAAGAGGAAGAAGACCAATTCATCCGTGCGCCTATCACAAAGAAGGAGAAGAAAGAGTTGAGGAATTTAAAGAGGTCAAGAGGCGGGTATGTTGCATCTTTTGGGGTTAATTTCTGAGAAGTTGAGATATTATTTACTGAGCAAGCGGATGGGCTTGTTATTCAGATTTCTGTGATAATTCTCGACAACCTTTCCTGTTTCCATTCCTTTCTGGCAGGTTGGATGGTTTGACTGATGGTTTCGATATCAAATTCTTACCATTGGATGATGGTGCTGGTGAACAACAGAAAGCTAGAAATGGCAGTGTTGGAATGAGGAAGCATAAGAAACACAAGGTATGCTCAGAAATGTTGATGATAGCTTTTCCTTGTTTGTATAAGTCCCAAGTTTGACTTCCTACGTTTTGTACTCTGTATGGATGTTCATAGAACTAAGAGTTGAGAAACAAATTGCGCATGTGTGCTGCGAGGCTGAGATCATTTAGAGGATAGCTTAAGCAACAAACTTTAATATATTGTTTATGGGTAGTATGGATGCTGTTGTAACTATCCTTGCCATGGGGAGTTTTTTTTTTTTTTTTTTTTTTTGGCGTGATGAATGTTGCTGCTGTAGTATCTTTTGGGTATATCTCTAGCTGATTTATGTCGTCGCTTTATCATATGCAGAGGAGGCATTGAGCACAAGAAAAGCTGAGATCCCCAGGCCAGTGTTGTGCTACGTTTGTAAGAACAATTCACATCTGGCGAATGTTTATAGGGCAAGTGACTTGGGAAAGGGAGTTTTAATGCTAAGCAGGGTCCTATTTTTGCAGATGGGCATACTTGAACCTGGGAGCTGGGAAGCTCATTTCTGGTTCTTATAATTTTGCAAGTTCAAGGCCAGGCCAAAAGGATAAGCGGCACGTCAATTGCGTTAACTTACCATCATTAAACCAATCTGTAATCAAGTTTTGTGAGTGAGAGTTTTAGATTCAATGCAAAATTTGAATTTTTTAGTTTATCATATACGGTTTCAATGTACAAGGTAGACATATTACAAAAGAATTTGAGAAATAAAATCAATGATCTGAATCCAGAGATAAAGCTTTGTCTGGAGATTGTAGGACATTAACCACCACTTGGTAGCCAGAGAAGATGATAGCTCTAAGCACGCGTTCTCGGCAAAATTCAAACACGTCAATAAGGCTTTAACTTCTGCTACAATTGTTGATGAACATAAAAGAGAACTGGCAATACCATCCAAAACTTTCCTATCTGGGGGGTTAGGATCAGAAGATCCAAGTCGATTCCTCTCCACCACTCTAAAGGCATGGTAAGCCCAGCTTACAGTGAATACACCGGATTATCACTATGATTTTTTATACATTTCCTCTTCCATCAAAGCATCTTTGATTATTTCAATAGTATTTCCTATCTAAATCACAACTTGATCAATGAGCCTTTATTAGACATAGGTTATGTTCATGTACTCTTTGATGATTTATACCTTCTTAATTATTAACTTTAGATGATTGTTGACCATAAATTTCAAACCCATTATATCATGAATTTTATCCCTCCATATTAACAGTTGACCAATCCCCTGGAGTTTCTAATGACTACTAAGTCTAATGATTAGTGTCGCATTCGTCCCCCCGGGGGGTCCGTTATCGTCGGGTCGGCATTTTTTGGGAGTCGTCATCGATCTTGCTTGGAGTGGATCAAACACTCTTCGAATCGGCTCCGACCTTAGGGTCTGAACCGAGATATGGTATGCGAACATAAAGTTCTGGGTTCGGGAGTACGGTTACGTGTGGGGAAGTTAAGCAACACCCCACAACGCCCTAAATCGGTACTACTTAAGTCGATAAGTTTTTATACGAGTTGGGTGTATTTTAGTAATATTTTAGTAATTTTAGGTCCCACTGGACCATTTAATGATTTTATCGCATTAGTTGTAATTTAATTATACGTCCACTAACGTAAAAATTTAAAGATAGAATTAATTGGTTAGTTGGACTCGAACCTTATCGGCTGCCTACGTACCCGTTAGACGGGATCAAAGTCCACGTAGTTCGTTGGCAACTTTGATAATTTTAATTATAACTTTTACCACGTTCCACTGAACGTAATTTTTGTATTAAAGATTTTGTTAATAAAATTCACATAGATTATTATGAGGTCATGACAATAAATGCAAGGATTTTAGTTATTAGGAAGTATTTTGATGTATTAGAAAAGAAACAAGATAAACTTAATTCGTATTCAACATTTTGTATTAAGAATTTTAAAAAGAATAAAAATAACTAAGATGATTAAATTAATGCATAATGGCCAAGCAGTACAACTGGCTAAATTTCCAGTCATGAATCGACTCCTTCCTCCGACGGAGAGTTCGAAACCTGCTAACCTCATTTTATCTTTGCTTTAATTTTAGAGAAAGGGGGGCAATTTTGTAATTGCAAAAACGGACGGTGGCAGGGCCACGTAAATGTGCAGAATACCCTAGGGGCTTTGAAAAGTCGAGGTACATGGCCGCCCTCTCTCTCTTAGGGATGGCAATGGGTCGGGTTTTGCCAAACCCAAACCCATGGGTTTATCTTTGAAAAAATGGTTAATACCTTGTTATGGCCTGAACTATGACCATGTAATCAACTTTGGCCAGTGGTTTGAGAAATTAACATCCTGGCCCGATCTATGCAGCATATTGACAAAATTGGCCTGGAGCGTGGTTTGACCGTTTGTTTGGACGGTCAACACCGTTGACCGTTAGTCAACTGTCCAGGTCACTGCCATGTCAACATAAAAAAAATTACAATTTCTTTTTTCTTTTTATTTCATTTACAAAAATTGAATAATTAAAAAAAAATCCAAAAAATCTGGCCCACCCATCCCCACCTTATCCCCTCACCTTCTTTCCTTTTCGATCAATCCCTATTCCATCTTCTTCCTCCTTCTTCCCCGACGAGACGCCGCCTCCATTCCCTCCGACTTCAAATGCAGCGGCGGCCGGTCGTTTAAAGACGACGCCGCCGCCGTCGCACTCTTTCAACATAACCCAAACACGAGCACCCATCCCCCTCGCCTTCTTTCGTTACCGATCTGCTCCCCAAAAAAACCCTAACGACCCTTCTTCTTCCTCCTTCTTCCCCGACAACCCGCCGCCTCCATTCTCTCCGTTTCAAATGCAGCGGCGGCCGGTCGTTTAAAGACGTCGCCGCCGTCGCACTCTTTCATCGCACCCATCCCCCTCGCCTTCTTTCGTTATCGATCTGCTCCCCAAAAAAAAACCCTAACGACCCTTCTTCTTCCTCCTTCTTCCCCGACAACCCTCACCCGTTCCTCGCACGCTCTGTCCAAGCCTTCCCCACCCAAGACCAAGTCTTCCCCTGCCTTCCCCACCCATTTCGCTCTGTCCATTTCTTTGTAGGCCAACCCTTCCCCACCCATCGATATTTTCTGTAAAAGGCGAAGAAAGTGAGGTTCCAGGGACACCTGTAGCAAGGGACCACTTCGACAAAATCTTGGTTGTTATTCAGCTAAGGTAAGCAATCACTATCCCACATAATAATATTCTAAATACTTCCAAGAAATCGGTTTTGGTCATATGTGGATTGATGCATAGTGGACATTAAAAAACAATAGTTGATTTGTCTTTGTCGGCTTAGTGAATTTAGCGATTTGTCTTTGTCGGCTTAGTGAAGTTTGCTTAGAAAAGTGTGTTTTCGATTTGTTTATGTGCAGAATGGAAGACCCGATTGAGCTCATTTTATGTCATGGAGGATTTATGGATATGACAGGGGCTGTTCCAAAGTACGTTGGAGGTGATGAAGCTGTGGTGAACATGGTTGTCGATGTATTGTCCTATTTCGAGCTAACAAAGACTCTAATTGAAGATTTAGAGTATGTCTCCGTGGAAAGGCTTTGGTACTTGACTCCGGGTAAAAGTATGGCCACTGGATTGCACGAAATTCATTCAGACGCGGAGGTTATGAATGGATTACTCCCATGTGTAGCTAAAGGACAGGTGAGGGTCTACTTTGAAGCAACAAAAGACTTGGGTGATGATGGATTTATGGGTGACAACTACGGCCATGAGCATGATGGTTCTGATGAGGATGGTGAAAACTCGGCTGTACCTGAGTTTGTTCGAGTAGGGGAAGAAGATGATGCCCAAACATCTGATGAAGAGTACCATGAAATCAGGCAGAAGGTTCGAAACAGGAGACAGAATTATAGAGCTCAGATTCAGGATTCGGGTGAGGAGGTTGATCAAGTGGTATTGGAGGAGGATGAGGGCAGTGAGAATGGAGGGCAGAATGTGAGTGGAAGTGAAGAGCAGAATGTGGGCAGTGGGAATGGAGGGCAGAATGTGAGTGGAAGTGAGGAGCAGAATGTGGACAGTGGGAATGGAGGCAATCAACCATCTCAAGCTGGTGAAGATGATGCAAATAGTGGGGGATCAATGGAAACTGAGTATAGGGGATCAGAGGACTCTGCTCACGTTAGAGGCAACATTGGTGAACAAGATAATGTCGCCAAGTTCGACAAATCCGTGCTTTATGATCCTAAGTGCGATCATAAAGCATTGAAGTTTGTTCCTTGTATGCGCTTTAAATCCCCTGAGCAGTTTAAGGCAGCTGTAATGAGGCAATCCATTGTGATTGGTGCTGATATCAGATGGGTAAGGAGCAGTGACTTTAGGAAGGAGGTTGTGTGTGCGCAAAGGAAAGAATTCCGTTGTGGGTGGAGGGTATATGCAAGTTGGTTTCGTAAGCACGAAGCATTTATGGTTAAAGGAGTTGGAACAGCTCACAGTTGCCCTCGTTCACTTCACATTCGGGCAGAAGGTCAGAGGTGGATAGCAGAAGAATTTATCGAGACATTTAGGGCAAATCAGGGTTGGGATGTAGGCCTAATAGCTGCTGAAATTAAGCGGAAGTACAATTTGGTTGTGTCAAACCAAACCTGCTACCGAGCTAGGCTAGAAGCGCGTCGCATGTTATATGGATCACTTGAAGAAGACTTTGCTCAAATTAGATCATATATAGGACATCTTCTGAAAGTTGACCCGCAAGGTTCCTTCCTTCTCGAGGTGGATGTAGATCCGGGTTGTGACAAGGTGTTCTTCAAGAGGCTCTATATTGGCTTCTCCAGTTTGAGCAAAGGATTCCTGGCAGGATGTAGGCCCTTCTTCTGCCTCGATGGTTGTTTTTTAAAGGGGGAGGTTCAAGGAATGCTTCTGGCTGCAGTTGGTAAGGATGGGAACAATCACATGTTCCCAATTGCATGGGCAATAGTGGAGTCTGAGAACAAATCCTCTTGGATTTGGTTCATAAATGCGTTGCAAAATCAACTTGGGACTGCTGACGGTAGTGGGTTTACTATTGTCTCAGACCAACAGAAGGTAACTACTTACTTTACTTATTATGACTATTTGAATACCTAAATTTAAATCCCACGCTTCTCCTAACTTTGATTGTTTAACACAGGGGCTTGTAGAGGCTCTACATGCCTGCTTGCCAAATGCAGAACACCGGAAATGTGCTCGGCATGTTCATGCTCACTTTCGGGAGAAGCACAAGACGGCAGCAGCTACTGATTTGTTTTGGGAAGCTGTTTACTCTCTCAATAACTCTGATTGGACAGATGCCATGGTTCGAATGAAAGGCCTTGGTGGGACTGAGTATGCTGATTTTATGGCTCAGGTAATCTTTCTTTGCTTATTATGTTTGCTTTGCTTATATTCAAATTAAAGCATAATCTAACATACAATTCACTCTCCAGGAACCAGAGCACTTCTGTCGTGTGTTCATGAAGACATTCTCCAAGAGTGACTCGGTGGAGAGCAACATATGCGAGTCATTCAATAACTGGATATTGCGATTCAGGTCTCTCAGACCGATTGCAATGTTGGAGGGAATTCGAGTGTCTGTTATGACTCGACTAGTGAAGAACCGCCGGAAGATGTTGCGATGGAATGACACTTTCCCACCGGTGGTCAGAGGGAAACTGGAAAAGTCAAAGAATGAAGCGAGAATGTGCACTAGTCGTCCTTCATCTGAGACGATGCATGAGGTTGCTGTCGAGAACAAGGCCTTCGTGGTTGACCTGAAGAACCGGACTTGCACGTGCGGTTGGTGGGCATTAAATGGTATTCCTTGTAGTCATGCGTTTGCATCCATCAGAAGCATGCGAGGACTTCCGGATTCTTATGTTGATGGTTTCTTCAAGCTGGAGTTTGTCAAAAAGGCATACAAGTTCCCCATTCCACCATCGGAAGGTCGACAAGCATGGATGCCCGTGTTTGGGAACAAGGTGTACCCTCCTCGGATTAGGCGCATGCCTGGTCGTCCAAAGACAAAACGTCGGAGGGAGGCTTGGGAGATCCGAAGCAAGCAAGCTAAAAATGGAATTGGGGAGGTTGCTAGTAGGGAGAATATCTCGATTCATTGTGGGAATTGTGGTGGAGAAGGCCACAATTCGAGGACATGCAAGAATGAGCCTGCTGCCCCGAAGACTGCAGCTCCTAAGAAGAAGAAGCAAGCACGCCCGACTCCTCAAGCCCCTGTTCCTCAATCAAATCAAGACGCTGGAAGGGAGAATCAGGTAACTCGCAGAGGATCCTTTTAATACTTATTAGTTATTTATTATGAATGTTTATTAATGTAACATTTTACAGCAGCCACGAGAAAAGAAGAAGGGTCGTTGCAGCAAGTGTAAATCAGAGCACCATAATGCAAGACGTTGTCCACTACTTATAGGGATCCAGGTAACCATCTTTTAACTATGTTACAATAATTGAATGAATGAATGGAATGAATGAATGAATGAATGAATGGAATGAATGAATGGAATGAAAGAAAGAATGAATGGAATGAATGAAAGAATGAATGAAATTCATAACTGAATGTGTATGAACTTGTAGGCCCCCCATGTTGGTTCGAGTAGTAAAAGGGTAACTGATCGTGAAATGAGAAGGGCGATGCAAGGTATTGGAACCTACATTGACATGGACACTGGAAACATGTATGCAAGGGTAAGTAACAGAGTTTTGCAGCTTATTGACAAAGTAGTGTTTGCTGTTAACTCTATTCCTAATATCCAGATCCTACTATTTTGCAGCTTAGTCACAGAGTGCCACAACCTGGTGGTGTACGAGCAACAGAACCGGACCAAGCTCCTGTCAATACCACACAGCCTCCCACTACTCAACCAGAGTCGCCTTAGGAAGTCAGAAGATGCTATGTTAGGAATTAGATAAGACTCCTATTTTGTGCGTGCTATGTGCATGTTACGGATCATTGTGATTCGTTGGAGTGTAGGTAGAAATATGTAAAGTAGGTCCAAAGTTAGGATTCCCCCTTTTGTACATGGTCTGGAAATGAACCTTGTCCTAAACTAAGGCACACCTTGTCCTAAACTAAGGTAGTGCCCCTTTTGTAAATGGTCTAGAAATGAACCATGTCCTAAACTTAGGTAATGCCCCTTTTGTAAATGTTCCGGACATGTTTGTCCTATCAAACAGATTATGTTTATGAATGAATGAAGTTGTATGTGTTTGTCCCAATTGTGCTTCAATGAAAGAACATGGTAATAGGAAGGAAATAAGGTAACATAATGGATCAGTTCATTGATTTCATAGGAAATTACACAAATTAGACAACAAGCTTACAATTGGACAATCACAAAACAAAAAGAAAGATAACTACAACGATTACACAGGCGGTTAGCTGATTTTTTAGCGCACAAATCGCATTTCGCATACTTTGCAATTCACCGAAACTAGCTGAATTGATCTCGGTCACCTTCGCCAAGTCTTCAAGCAGTGCCAACTTCTCCTGATTCCTCTTCTTCGCCTTCTCTTTTGCCCTACGAAGTTGTCCTTCAAATGCCTCCAATGTCGACTTTAGCTGCTCATTCTCTTCCATAAGTTCACCAAGCATAAAGTCACTCTCTGTGACTGCATCAACCCAGCGAAAAAACCGGCAGTTCTTCTCTTCATCCTTCCAATACGGGCAAGAATAAAACAATCTCCCAGGATCGTCGTCTGTTCGAGAAGTGTTGACAACGCAGGGGGCTCGGTGGAAGTTGCATCTTATGGGCTTCGTGCTTGACGAACCAGAAGAGGATGAAGCTTTGGTGGCAATTTTCCCAACTCGCCTGGACATTATTGCACAGAGGGGTCTGAAGAGAGCTCGAGATGGGTCTGGTAGAAAGGAAGAAGAGATCGCGAAAGGGGTCTCGAGCCGTTTTTGGATAGAAAGGAAGAAAGAAGGGAGCTCGATTTCGTTTGGGATGTGGAGGCGGTGGGTCGTCGGGGAAGAAGGGAGATGTTTCGGATATGGAGGCGGCGGGTCGTCGGGGAAGAAGGGATTTGTTTTCGTCGGAGGGAATGGAGGCGGCGGCTCGTCGGGGAAGAAGGAGGAAGAAGATGGAATAGGGTTGGGTTTGATCGAAAAGGAAAGAAGGTGAGGGGATAAGGTGGGGATGGGTGGGCCAGATTTTTTGGATTTTGTTTTTTTTTATTATTCAATTTTTGTAAATGAAATAAAAAGAAAAATGAAATTGTAATTTTTTTATGTTGACATGGCAGTGACCTAGACAGTTGACTAACGGTCAACGGTGTTGACCGTCCAAACAAACGGTCAAACCACGCTCCAGGCCAATTTTGTCAATATGCTGCATAGATCGGGCGAGGATGTTAATTTCTCAAACCACTGGCCAAAGTTGATTACATGGTCATAGTTCAGGCCATAACAAGGTATTAACCCTTGAAAAAAACCCGGGGTAAAACCCACTGGGTTTGAAAAACTGAAACCCAACCCGTTGGGTATCCGCGGGTTCATGGGTACCCACGGGTTTTGTCGTAAAAAATTTACAATTACAAGTTTTTATCAAAATTAAAGTCAAATATGAATCTCTCAATACAACTTAGCCATATATAAAACACCATTCTAGAAAATTCAAGCAAATCACAAATTAACTATACAAATTGTTCAACACCAATCTAGAAAACTCAAGAAAATTGAAGCAAATCACAAATTATCCATAAATAACATGTTTAATTGAAAACTTCTTCCTTTCAATTAAGTTTCTTTACTCTCCACTCCATAACATCAACTTCATTCTACACAATTAAAAATAAAAAATTAGACATGTCTCCACAAACATAAATAAGATTAGTTGTTTAGAATATTAAATATACCGAAAAAATTAATTATATGGGTGGGCGGGTACCCACGGGCCGGGTTTACCTAAACCCAAACCCAACCCAACCCGATGAATAGTGAACGGGTTTAAACCCAAACCCGACCCAAAAACCCGTCAACACGGATTTTACCCGCGCTGACCGGGTTGGGTCGGGTGGGTACCCGTGGGTTCGGATTTTGTTGTCATCCCTACTCTCTCGTCCCTCTCATTCTCGCCTCTCTCTCTTCCTCTCGATCCTTCCACTTCTCTCTTCCTCTTCCAGAATCAAATCAAAACCTAGCCGCCTCTCTACACCTCACCTCTCTCTCCTCGATAGACCGAAACCCTAGCCTCCTCTCTTCAGACCGTCGCCATCTTCTTCTCCTCTCACTCTCTCGTCCCTCTTCCACCATAGACCGAAACCCTAGCCCCCAATCGTCGTCCTCTCTTACCCTCTCAATCCGCCGTCGCTCTCGTGCCATCTCAATCCGGCGTCACTCTCGAGATAAAACGCTGCTCGTGTTCGCAAACGAGAGAGCTGCTGCTGTGAAACCAAGATTCGTGATTTCTTCTTCAAAGGTGAGAGCCCGCTCTAGGTTTTTTCAGTTTCATCTGGTTCCCTGTTTGTGATTAATTCACCATTCTAGGGATTTTTATTTCTCGGCCTCAGCATGTAGATTGGTTTTCAGCTAGGGTTTTTCGATTGTACGCGGCTTCTTTCTGAGATTTATGGCGGTATGGGTCTCATCCGAGTAATTTGATTGATCCGTTCCTTGCCTCGCTGGTAATGTAGTTTTTGTTTTCATGGGTGCTGCTGCTTAGGATCTTCATTGGCAGTGTCGACATAGTTGCGTGGCTTGAGGGGGAAAAAAACAGATCTTTGTCTGGAAAATTAATTTTAAGGTTAGGTGCTTTGTGAAGGGGGAGTGAAGTCTGTGTCTTTACATTGTAGTGAGACTATTGTGCTTCAGAGAGATTAATTAGGACTCAATTAGACCGTTTTATGTTATTATTTTAGGGAGAACTTTCGTATTTGTGATCTGTGTGCAATGAAGTATGTATCTGCAATAGCTGAAGGCATTGCATCAGCTAGCTGGTTTTAATATGCGACTGTCTCTCCTTTTTCATTTGATGTTATTTAGTTGCATTGTGTTGAAACATTCTTCATCTTGCAGCTTGAAGATGCCGCGTTATGATGACAGATATGCCAACACCCGCCTCTATGTTGGCCATCTAGCCCCCCGCACAAGGTCTCGTGATCTTGAATATGTCTTCAGCAAATATGGGAGGTGAGTTGCACATGAAGATAAAATCTCTTGGACTTGATGTGGGTTTTTGTGTTTATGCATGAACTTTTTATACGCCTCCAATATTCATATTTTCCTACTGACTGACATGGTTTGTCCTGGGGTATGTGTTTTCAGTCCCCTCAATTTTCTTTAGTTGGACATATTTGTCTTCAACAGTTTCTTTCTCTCATTGATTTGCTCAAGTTTTCTCTATGGGAAATGTTGTGGTGCCTAGGTGTCTATTGTTTTTAACTTGAATGATCTTGTTGAAGGTTTCTGGGGCTTTTGCCTTACCTGGAGGCCTGTGGTGAGATGGTTGCCATGGTGGAAATTGGTGGAAATTCTTGCCTATGGGACTTTGGCGATTCTTTCTATTATGTTATTGCGTATTTTTGAATGGAAATGGCAACAATCTCTCAAAGTGGTGTTCATTCAAACTGGTGTTTAGTACGTCTATGAGGAGTGAAGTATCATACAACTTGCAGTACTCTTACACGTAATGATGGCCTTACTGTTTGTGGCAACCGTTTTGGCAGAGTCCGAGATGTGGATATGAAGCGTGACTATGCATTTGTTGTAAGTGTTGTGCATTTTTCTCATTAGCTCGGTTCATTATTTGTCTGGCGGATGTATAATTGAACTCTGTATTGTCTACTAGTGTCTGACAAATTATTACCTACAACTATATCGTCTCGTGTGTGGTGTTGTTGTTTTCTGTCACTTCTTTACAGGAATTTAGTGATCCACGAGATGCTGATGATGCAAGGTATCACTTAGATGGCCGAGATGTTGATGGAAGTCGGATCATTGTGGAAGTTGCTAAAGGGGTAGGTTCAGTTTTACCGTGCTAGTCGATGTTCTTTAATGGTTATGATGCTTAAAGCAGCCCAATTTTTTTCATACTGTATTAACCTTGTTTGCTGACATGGCTAGGTACCTCGAGGCTCCAAGGAATACCTGGGGAGAGGTCCGCCTCCTGGATCTGGGCGGTGCTTCAATTGTGGTATTGATGGCCACTGGGCTAGAGATTGCAAAGCTGGTGATTGGAAGAATAAGTGCTACAGATGTGGGGAGAGGGGACACATTGAGAGAAATTGCAAGAACAGCCCTCAGAAGTTGAAGTGAGTCGTTCTTCTTCACTTCATAAATTTCTTCTTGGTTCTAAATAGTAGGGACTGCTTGCAATTTCCACGATTTCTATTTCTTATTATAATTGGGGTGCTATGTTATATATGAACAGGCGTGGGCGAAGTTACTCAAGGTCCCCATCACCTCGTCGTGGTGGCAGGAGCCGCAGCCCAAGTTACAGCCGAGGCCACAGCTACAGGTTCGTCAATAGCAAGCAATCATAAGAGAGCTTTGTCTGTTGCAAACTCGTTTGTGGTTTAGCTAACGAGACTGATTGGATCTCATTTCTACTTGCAGCCGATCGAGATCTCCAGTGCCTAAGAGAGACCGAAGTGTAGACAACGAGGCCAGGTCAATGAGCCCGGACCCAAGGAACGATGGCCCTTCCAAGGGGAGGAAGCGTAGCCCAACTCCTGAAGATCGAAGCCCACGCCCTTCTCCCAAAGCTAGGAAGGTGGAGGATGATGACCGAGAGTATAGTGCCAGTCCAAGGGGCAGGAGCCGGAGCAGGAGCAGGACCCCAGAAAGAGAGAGCCCTAGAAATGGCAGGTACGAGAGTCCCCCGGCTAATGGCCGAAGTCCAAGCCGGAGCCGCAGCCCTAGTCCGAGGGCGAGGGATGACAAGAGCCCTGCTGCTGAGGATGATTTTGAAAACAACCGTCGCTCGCCTAGAGGCAGCGAGTCTCCCTGAAAGATGAATGAGAGAGCGTGGCTAATAGTCCCTGAAGCTTCACTCCCCGGTCGTCAATTTAAATGTTCAATATTTGGAAGCTTCAACTATGGATTTTCTTTTATGTTGTGATGTAGCTTTCGGCGGAATTCTATGTCCTTCTGTGAGCTGAATGTATCCTTTGTTCACCGGATCCGTAGCTCTTTCCTATTTGATATTTTAAGCTAAGGCGGCAATGTTGTTGGATGAAGGATTTACCAATGCAATTCGGAAAATGGAAGTGCAATGTTGTCGACAGAACTGAAACGTTTCTTTTTTATGTAATTCGCGTGCAATAAGTAGAAATAATTTATTTTAGTATTTTTATAAATTGGCAATTATGCTAATGTATGTTGGTCAGGTCACCACTCACCATAGACTAAACATTGAAATCGTTCGAAATTATAGATTTAACGAATTTTATTATAATTTTTAAAGCGGAATTTTATAGGATTTTAACATCCAAAAATTTAGTAGTAAAATCAAGATTGGAACCTATAGGCTATAGGTAAAATCATAAACTTGGAAATTCAAGATAAAAATTGAAATTTTAACTACATTGATGGCAAGGGTATTGAGAATATTCATTCCCAGCAATGACACTTTCCAAATAGAGATAAAGTAATGACTACAACTAGATATTGAAACTTAATCGTATTTAGCACAATAGGTGTTTTGAAGGGAAGGAGTATAAGAAGCAAACTAGTGAAGAGAAGAAAGGTGTTGAGCCAATATATTGAGTATGGAATTTGTTGTTCTCTTTTTAGCGAAAGGATTGCGATCATGATGGAGGCACGATTTTTTTTTTTTTTGACAAAAGATAATCATATATTGATACCAAAAGAGATAGTTACATCCTGGAGAAGAGCCAGGCCTGAAAATTAAAAGCACGACTCATGGTCGGGTACAAGGAGAGGGCTTTCCTAGCCACCAAATGGGCTACCCTATTGTTACACCGACCTATAAACCGAACACTAAACCCTGGGTTGCTGGCACAAAGATTTAACACTTCCTCCAAAACCGCACCCATCCTGCGATCACGAGTGTCCCCATGGCTGATTTTGTCAATGACCACTTTCGCATCGCCTTCAAATCTGACAGAGAAGAAACCTTGTCCTAAACACCAAAGAATGGCTGCACGCAGCGTTAACAGCTCCACAACCGCAGGGTCGTCATATCCTGGGAAGGTAACACCACTAACCCGATGGATGTCTCCGGTGGGCGTCAAAAGCACCATTCCCCCAGCGGCATGCGACCCCCTTCTCATAGCCCCATCCCACCGACAAACAAACTCACCAGGATTAACCAGGCGAGGCTCCAGCACTTCCATCACCCGATTAGCTTGCTGGTCATTACCCGGTATCCGCGCCCATTCCTCAACCTGCTGCCAAAACTGCCGCATAAGAGCTGGGAGACCAAACTGCTTTCCCTCGAAAACAACCCAATTACGGGATTTCCAAATCCGCCATAAGACAGCAATAATGGCCATCCATTGCGAGGGCTGAGGGACCAAACACAGCAACTTCTTAAGGAACAGGGGAAAATTATCACGGGGCAAACCCTCCCCTAAGTGCTCCATCCCTGCTGCTCCCCATACAGCTCGCGCAACTGGACAATCCAAAAAGAGGTGCTCCAAGGTTTCAGGCCCCTCCCAACAGACCGGGCATCGAGATATCACTGGAATACGACGACTAATGAGCGCTTCCGTTGTCGGCAAAATACGATTAAATATCTGCCACGTAAAAACCTTTAACTTTGGCGGGATATTAGCACCCCAAAGTCGAATCCAACTTGGCCTATCCATCCAATCTGCTGTTGATTTCCACCGGCCCCTTCTCTTATCCAGGGCCACAGCCAGGTGGTACGCTGACTTCACCGAAAACTCCCCATCCGCTGTATCGTACCATATGAGTTTATCCTCCACATTATCTCGCGGGAGGGGGATAGCTTTAATGAAACGGCACGTCATAGGATCGAACCACTGCCTGAGTTTTTGGTCACACCACCGCCCCTCCCCTTGACAAATTAACTCCGCCACTGCCGGGTCACCACCTGCTGGCAATACCTGAGGATTATACCGAACGCCCTCAAACTGAAATTCTGGGATCCAGGTAGAACGCAACATAGATGCTGAGCGACCATTTCCCACTTGCCATCGTAGCCCCATTTCCAAGAGTTGACGGCCAAACAGTATGCTCTGCCACCCCCAAGATGGCTGAGAACGTGCTTTTGCCGTCAAGAAATGACCATTCGGAAAATACTTACCTCGATAGACCTGGGCCAGCAAAGAATTGGGCTCATTTAGGATACGCCAGCCAAGCTTAGCCAAAAGAGCTTGATTAAACTGCTCAAACCTACGGAAACCCATTCCCCCATCATGTTTGCTTCGACACATCCCCTGCCACGACATCCAACGCACCTTCGGATGCCCTTCATTCTCGCCCCACCAAAAACGGGCAACATGCCTGTCTAAAAGGCGGCAAAGCGTCAGCGGGAGCTTGAAACAGGACATCACATGCAATGGCAAAGCCAGAGCAATAGATTTGATGAGTGTTTCTTTGGCAGCCCATGAAAGCGTTCTCTGCTTCCATCCCTGTAGCCGCTCCAGCAGTTTAGCTTCCAAATACCGAAAGGTCTCCATCTTAGATCTAGCAATCAAGGATGGGAGCCCTAGGTACTTATCATGGACTCCAACTGCTCCGACGCCGAGGACTGCCGCCAAGAACTCTTGATCTTGTTGAATTATATTCCTACTGAAGCAGACCGCCGACTTGGCAAGGTTAACCCTTTGGCCACTCAATTCCTCATACTCGTTGAGTACCTCCATAAGGTTTTCACATTCCTGGAGGTTACCGCGGAGGAAAAGGTACGAGTCATCAGCAAAAAACAAATGGGTTAATCTGGGAGCCCGAGGAGCCACTTTAATTCCTGCTAAACGTTTCTCAGAAATCGCCTTCCGGAGAAGAGCCGCAAACCCTTCAGTGCAAAGCACAAAAAGGAGAGGAGACAGCGGATCCCCTTGACGGAGCCCTCGAGAAGGAGAAAAGAAACCAGACGGCGTACCATTCATCATAACAGAGAAGGAAGCAGAGCTGAGGCATTCCTTGATCCAGCCCACCCAAGTGGCATTAAAACCCATTTTACCCAAAACCGCAAGAAGAAAGGGCCATTCGACTCTATCATAAGCCTTTTCCATGTCAACCTTTAGGGCCATGAACCCCTTCTTCCCCCGCTTTTTGGTTTTGAGGTAATGCATCAGCTCATGTCCCAGTAAAATGTTATCCACTATTTGACGCTCCTTAATAAAGCCATTCTGACCTTCTGAGACCACTTGCGGGAGAACAACAGACAATCGTTCCGCCAAAATCTTAGTTATGATCTTATAGACAAACTGGCACAAACTTATGGGACGCAATTGCCTCATTGTCTCCACATTATCCACTTTAGGAATTAACGTGAGCCAAGTGTGATTAAAGCTCCGGAGTAAACGCCCAGAAGTAAAGAAAGAACCGACTGCATCAATAACAGATGGGCCCACAATACCCCAGAAGGCCTTAAAGAATTTCCCAGTGAACCCGTCAGACCCTGGGGCTTGTTTCGAGCCCATAGCAAAGACAGTCCTGCGAATCTCCTCAGGAAGCACGAATTGTTGGCAGTGTTGTCAGTTTATTCACTTAATTACATTATTATTGTTATTTAATTATATTCATTGAGATTTTAGGAGATTTAGGGATTATTGAAAATATTTGAGGAATTGAGATTATTATTATGATAGTTGTTAGGAAAAAGAGATTATAAGACTCCATATGATTATTATGTGGAAATTAGGCAACAAACAATTGAGTTACAAAATCCTCCAATTTCCGGATTTTTCCGAGAAATGACACTAAATAAAAAAAAATTCAAAAATACCTCCTATTTCCGAAAAATTCAAAAAATATCACCCTTTTCCGAAAACCGCTTGGGGAGGGCATGGTTTTTGCTGAAAACCGCATCGGGGCGAGGTGGTCTGATAAGCCCCTGAGTTGCGGTTTGTATGATTTTTTTTTTTATATTTTAATTCGGACTTAAGTCGAAACTTCAAACGAACGTAACTTTGTGCTCGGGTATCCGATCGTAGCGAATTTTTTTTTAATCTGCATAACTTTTCGAGATCTTGCAAACCGCAAACAACTATAGGCATTTTGATCTCACTTTCCTCCCGAAAAATGTCGTTTGCTACTCCGAACAAATAATTTTTTTTTATTTTGCCAAATTTTAGATGGCCTTAACTTTGTGCTCCGTACTCCCTTTGCTAAGTCCCCCTCTCCCTTTCCCTTCTTTCACACGTTCAAACCCTTCCTCTCTTTTCTGTTCATCCCATCAAATCCACCAAATCCCACTTCTTCCCAATCTCACCAATTCCACTATTTCATTCACCATCCCTTGATCTGGGTACTCATAAGATTAGGAGTAGCTTTAGAAGCTTTTGATTGGCAGCTGTTGTCAATGGTTTTATTCTCACCCAAAGAGTACCAATCGAAGTTAGATCTATCAATAAGAAAATCCTAGGAGAATAGACCTCAAAGGGGTACACACCCTGAGTCAGGAAGTAAAGCAATACATCCATGGAATAAGATTAAACGATCTTGGTTGAAACTAAACATGATTTGCAATTCAATCCACAATTATTTTGTAGTGGGTTCACTCGATAATGAGTTACCATTGTTCCGGCCACTCAAGTTTGAAGGTGTGATGTATGTTATACGTATACTAGAACATATGATATGTTTCGGTTATTGTTCAGATGATAGCTCATTAAGCTATATTGAAAATTAGTTCGATGAGGGTTGAAACTGAAAAACTAAAAATGAGTTATTTTCTTATTTTTTATTGTCGCATCATCTATTTACCTATCAAAATTTATGGTTGACTGTTGCTTAGGATAAATTTAATGGAATTAAACGGTAGGTGACCAATCACGATATGAGAATTTAAATTAAATGAACACTAGGCCACAAAAAAAAAACTAAATGACAAACACGAAACAAACATAAATTGAGTGACCAAACTTGCAATTTAGTCCCTAGTCCCTACAAATATATACCTAATATAAACATTGGGTTAATTGCATAGTTGGTCACTGAGATTACAAAAAACGTTCAAGTTTGGTCACTCGAAATATTTAAATTCATTAATCACCGAAAAAATATATTTAAATCCATTGGTGGTACTTTAGTTTACTGAAATCGTTCACATTTGGTCACTCTCCGTCAAACTTCGTTAAGTTTGGCTGATGTGGCGGTCAACTCTCAAAGTTGACCGTTAACTTAGTGACGTGGCAATTAAGAAATAATAAATAAAATATAATATAATCTATTTTAATGTCAAACTCATTTTTACCATTAAAACACGAAAAAAAATTATTATAATTATCAAAAGAAGAGGTGCAGCCGCTGGCCCCGCCGCCGTGCTCGTAACCTCCACCGCAAATCTTCTAAGACAACCAACTGTTTCTAAGACACCTAAATATAAAACAATGGCAAACACACATAATTAAAGGAAACCGCGGGGTCGGATACTATGCTAACCCCTAAAGGGGTAGTGATTCGACACCCCCTTTATGATTGGCCAATTTTATTTCCAATCATTGGCAAGTATTAATTAAACTGGTTTTTTTTTAATCTTGTAATTTGGGGTCTCTCACCCACATTGGAAAAGGAAAGAATATGGGGAATCAGAAAAAAGCTCCTCCCCCCTCAAATGTGCAATTAATTGCCTTTTTTTCTTCCTTTCGTCTCCTTCTCTCTCCATTTGGGCCCTCTTTCCATTTTGATTTCATTTTAACCAGAACCCTCCTCTACTCTGAAACGACCAAAACCCTCCAGCGCCTTCCCCCACCACCATCCTCCTATCTCCAGCTGCCGCCATCCTGGGATCGCCTCTGACCTACCAATGGAGTGGTACGTGTATCAGTGGAGTGGTACGTGTACCAGTGGAGTGGTATTTGTATCATTGAAGTGGTACTGCATTGTTGCTCCGTTATTGTTTATCATTGTTATGAAAAATATCATTGCACTGGTATTGTTCTCACTCTAACCTACCTTGTGGATTGCTCGCACCAGTGGAGTGGTACGTGTACCAGTGGAGTGGTACGTGTACCAGTAGAGTGGTACGTGTAATTAATGTACCAGTGAGAGAAATTAATTATGTAATTAATGGGGGTGATTTCGTTTTTCCCCAGATTCTTTCTCTTTTCCAATGTGGTGAGAGACCCCAAATTATAAGATTAAAAAAAATAAAAAACCAGTTTAATTAATACATGCCAATGATTGGAAATAAAATTGGCCAATCATAAAGGGGGTGTCAAAAATCACTACCCCTTTAGGGGTAGTCAGGCTAACCGAACCCGGAAACCGCAAAACAAGCCTACAGGCTACAGCTACAACACAGGAAATTAGGGGGGAGACAGAAAATAACAAACCAGAGACCTATGGAACGAATTAGAGAGAGTGCCGATGATGTAGTCTCTCTTCTTTCCAGGACGAGCAATTTTAACATTAATCCACCCTTAATTCGAATTTTCTCATTGCTCTTCCACGATTTCAATAGAGAGTCGGCTGCGGGCATTTTCGTCGCCGGAGTTGGTGAATACTGCTGCTGCAACTATTACCCAGAACCAGAACGAGAACCAGAACCCTCCTTCCACCACCAGCAAACCCCAGCAACCACCCTTGCAGGATTATAGCTTAGAAGGTCGGCCGGTCAGTTTTTGCTTTGTTTGATTGTTTGTGATGAATAATCATCTGGATCGGCTTCATGGGTTTTGTTTGGCAGGGATCGCCGCCAACGTGAAGCTGCTGGTGAAAGTGATACGGTATCACAATGAGGCGAGCGCCAGAGACTACGACGACCGGAAAACCCAGAGGGTCGCCGGCGATGTTGGGCGAGCGCCCGAGACTACCTCTTCTTTTGATAATTATTATAATAAGAAGAGGTGTTCAAATCAATAGTTCGGTGTGGTGTGATTTAGATTTCTTTGCTGTTGTGATTTGTGAGCTATGCAAAACAGGGAACAAAGGCTCCTGAATTTTATTGTCAATTTGCAAAGCAGAGTCTATGAACTAGAAGAAGAGAATAAGAAACTTGCTAAGTTGGTTGTTGTCACTTCACCAACTCTAGCTCTTGCTTGTGGGTAGTGTAATGATTTCGCCACAAAGGAGCTTCAAGTGGTGAAACAAAGATTGCCTGCAGTGGAGAGACAACTTAGTAGACTGGTGATTAGCTAAATCAGTACTTGTTTATTGTAATCTTGTGTAGTTGTGGTAGTTTGGTTTGCGACAATTCTGTAACTTGTGATCTTTGATATGGTCACCTAAGCTGGAGAAGCTGGTCTTTGTATAGGTGAACCTGTAACTTGTATTTTGACTGTTTTAGTAGCAGTTATGTTGTACTTGTAAAACCTGTATTGTCCAGGAACAATGTTCCAGGAAAGCAAATGAAAATTGTAAGAAGAAACAATGTTCTAGTTGCTGTAATCAATTATCGGAAGACCAGAGAGTTCTTTTATACCGCAGACCATTTATGGCAGAAACAATGTTTGTAAGACCTATCTGTATGACCATTTATGGCGGAAACAATGTCTGTAAGACCATTTATGACAGAAACTAAGTAGCTAGAGGGAAAAATATAAGCTTCAATATAACATTACATTCATCATAGATCAGAGAGATGTTCCCAATGTGCACTTTACAATCAAGTTCTCACAAGCTGTCTTGCAATTATATATGGTACTTACATGAGACAGCTTCATCCTACAGCTTGGTACATCATGTGAACTTTACAAAAAAAAAAAAAAAGCCTGATTATGGATTTACCTCCATTGAAGTTCAAGATCCTAAGAAGCTAACCATATAACTTCACAAAATATAGGTTGTCCTACATTTGCAAAGATTGTCATTGAGTGTACTTCACAATGACAGATAGACAAAAAAAAAAAAGGCCTCTGTGCAAACTTGACAACTACCTAATAGCTTACATCCTAGTGGACTTACTATACAACTACATTCATATTGGAAACACACCCTCATTCATCCTTGAGTAGATTAAGAACAAGGGTCAGCCTGTCCTCTTCCTTCTCCAGCTCATAGAAGCACTTCAAGTCACCTGGATTGTTAGAAAACTTCCTCACAGCAATGATCATTTGAGCTCTAGTTAGTCCTTCCATTTTTTCCAAGTTCTTCAGCAATTCCTTACGCATAATGTTGTAGTCCTCGCTTTGCCCCAAAGCCCTTGCAATGGTGTCCACAAACTCTTTAATGAGGGGCCTAAGTCCACCCAATTCAATGCACACTTCACCAATGCCCTCTTTAGTGTCCCCTTTCTTCCTCTTCCTCTACTTCTTTTTCTAAGAAGGAGCCGGTTCTGAATTAGTTGTCGGGCGCTTCTTGTTCACACGAGCTTCCACACCATCATTGATCTTATTCAGAATTGCTTCATCCATTGTGGAGTTGTTCAGTGGGTCGATAGGGTAAGTCGGGCTGTCATCATCATCGGAGGCGTCATCTCCCAACTCTGATATGTTTGGATCATGTCCTGAGAATACGGCTTCACCAATAGCACGTCCTTTCCCGAAAACATATCCTAGTTCAAAGAACTGTGGGAATGGGACTCGTTTATATGTTTTACAATCAACATGTGACTATAAAGAAAGAACAAGTCACAAACAGACAACATAATTAATGACACTCTACTTGAGGTAGGTGATGTAATGCAATTCACCATCATCATAAGTCACCCAGCCTCATTAATTCCCTTACCCAGCCCCATTAATCGGGGCTGACCTTGAAATGTTTCCACCTACTATTGGTCCAATTGTCGGGAATGGGAAGCGACTTCTTCATTAGTAAGTTCTTGAGCCTAATAACAGCCGCAGTACGCGGTGAATTGTTCGAGATATTGTCTCTCCCAAACGACGTAAATTCAGGCATAAGGTTCTATTTTTCTCGTTCTGTGAAATCGTTCGAAGAAAGATATAGACCATCTCGTCTATATCTACATTCCTAGTTCTTTTCAGCCCACCTTCACTAACAAGAAGTTCACAGAAGTTTCTGAATAAGCTACGATTCATCCTAACTTTGTCGAAAGTATCAATGTCAGTCATTCTAGTTGCATTCCTAAGGTGCCTTTGTCTATCATAGTGCCTCTGCAGGTAGGTATCCACTGGTTGCCTACTAAGTCGTCGATTCAAGTAATGTTTTTGTACTAAGTCAGCTAGTTTGATACCTAAACTAACATAAATCATGAGAAGGTTGGAGAACTGCTGCAACCACCTGGCGTCTACGGGCTGGAGCTAAACTTGATAGTCGAGACATCCTTTATAAAATAGTTAAAATGCACAATCAGTGGATAAACAAGTACAGCACGCCAATTCCAAAAACCCATGTCGGTTACATAAACAAAAACAAGGAGACAGTTATGTTCATCATGAAGTATAAGCAAGCTAGATCGTGACCATAACAAGCATTAGAAGCAAACCAAGAAGTATAAAGCAATGCTAAGCCGTAGCATGGAAGGATACACTTAGCATTCTCAATAGTGTCCAATCGGTAGAAAACCAATGATTTTTTGTTGGGGTCAATAGATAAACCCAATTAGGGTTGGACTTTGTCGGCATTAGTAAGAAAAAAGAAAAGATAGTTCATTATTTGGAACCTGTGAAGAAAGAGAGATGACAGAAAGATTCGTGGTTTACCCCCTTATAAACCCAGGTACACAAACAGAAAGTTCGTCATCAATTTCTTTATTATGGTTTACGAGAGGGGTTTTTTGGATTTCTAACAAGGACAAAGTGAATAAGGGTAAAGAAAATTAAGATACCTGGGTCAATCTTTGACGAAGAGAAGATCGTCGCGGGAACACCTTCAGTAGCTTACTCTTTCCTTCGACGACAACAAGATAGGATGGAGAGATAAAATGACAGCAAAAAAAGGGAGTATGAAAAGGTAAAGAGTGAATCAAGGGCACATTTGGGGTTATAGTTAAAAGGCAAGGACAACTTTGGAAATAAAAAACACACAACGAGACAATTTGAATCCCCCCTTGTCATTACAATTACCCCATAACGCGCCAAAGCTAATTGTCCCGGCACCAGATTGCTTCATTCCTCTTTTTGTTTGTCAAACGGGTCAATTAGGCCCAATTTACTCAAAATAAAATAATTTAGTACAATTGATCCATCACAATATTCCATCTAGAGTACCCCTCAAGAAATTTCCTACATTTTTTACTTATACCATCCTACACAGAAAAACTAATTAATCATACAAAAAAAAACTAATTAATAAAAATAAATTAATTTAAAGATTTGAACTTTTTTTAATAAAAAAAGGGGTCAGCGAGGAGCGAACGGAAGCAAAGAAGATGAAATAAACTGAAGAGGCCATCGGTCGGCATACTCTCCTTCCCCGTCTCCATTTTCTGCTCCGCCTTGTTCCGGTAACCCTAATCCCCTCGCTGCCTTTACTTTATCCTTTACTTTGACATTCTTTCCGCATCGGATCCTCGTTAATCGTTTTATCTGATATCTCCATTGCCATTTTCGGGAACTCGTCGTCTCCAGCTTTCGATCGTCTCGATTGCTTATGTGTATCTGGGGTTGAAGGTGGTCGTATCAACTGAATTGCGGATGCTAAATGCTTCTTGTTCTTTCCAATTTGGGCGTGATTAAGTTCGCGGTAGAGTTGGCAGTTGTGTACGCTAGGGTATGGCTCAGCAGTCTTCCCGGCTCAATCGGTTGCTCACCCTATTAGACAGTATCCTTTGTGCGTTTTTTATTTTAAGCTTTTCTCTTTTTGGTTCGAATCGTGGTGATTGAATCTGGTTTTCCATGGTTTTGGGTATTATCCATTTTTATGCATCTTTGCGTGTGGATATAGCGTGGGTTTGTTATGGTCTTCTTTAACGTGGACTCCTCTTAGCTGGTTCGAGTCAAGCAACGAGATTCACTGCCGCGAAGCAGATTGGAGATATAGCAAACTCCCATCCCCAGGAGTTGAGCTCTCTTCTAAAGAAGGTACGTTCTGTGGAATCCTGCTTGCATGTCTTACCGTGCCTAGCCAACCCTTATTTTCAGTGGTTTTGCGCTGGTTCCAACTAGATTTTGCTAGTCCATATTTCCCCCCTGTTCCAGAACAATCACCATTGGCCTTAGACTGAAGGCTAAGATGGACGACGAAGACGTGAATGTGGACAAGGGTTTCCATTGAGTTAATTTCCTCTTGGAAATTTGTAGAATTGATTGAAAGCCTGTTCAATTCTTATGAATTTAAGTATTTTGGCTCGTATAAAGGAGAATGAGTTGTGAAGTAAGCATGAACTTTCTAGTGATAGAACAGAACCTTTTGGAATATTTTCGTTTCTTATTCATGATTTGATGTTAGTTATTTCTTGCTCTTATTGAGTATCTTGGATGCTCTACGAGTGTATGATGCTTGAGTCTTGGTGTATAAAATATGATGGTGGTATGGGAAGGTATTGTTCCTACTGATTGTGTGACAGATGGAATGATCAGTGGTTTATGTGTACAGAGGGACTTGTTCTGCTCTAGAGAATCATCAATGAGGTTTTGAAGAGGTGTGGAGTTTAACTAATATATACACCCTGATGTGAGATTAGGATGATATTTGGTGTTAATAGAAGTTCATTTCTTGAGCGTCTTTTAATTATATTGCGCTCAAAAGCTTAGCTGCATGTGTGGGTTGATGCAACTGAATGCAGAAAGGAACTAAAGTGCACCAAGAGAAAAGTGAGATGGACAAAACCGGCCAGGATTGGCATGGTGCTGGTGGCATCTAGTAGATTACTGAAAAGTAAAAGAAAAAGGGCATCCTTCTTCTGTTTTTGTCCAATCCGAATAACGGAGCCATTGCTTTTGAGTCTATGCGAGCTGTGAATAGTGTAATGTGATTTTTTATGTAGATATCTGGTATTAGAACTGTCTTTTCAAGAAACCGCGACTAGGCGGCCACCTAGGCGCGAGTAATCTCTGGGCGAGGGGAAAACACCGCGCCTCGGCCTCGGCGTTTGGTATCTACATACAAACTAGTGCTCCTTTAGTTTAAAGGGGTCCATTGGGACCTCGTTGTGTATCAAACCGGCTGTTATTGACTCCTGAATTTGGTTTGGCATCTGATCTTTTCTTCAAAATAAGCACATTACTTGAGGTTTTTTTACCATGTTGTTTATGTGATGCTAGTTTAAGCGATTTAGGTACAAATAAATTATCAGCCAGTGTTTGTT